CGATTTCGAAGATGCAGCACTGCTCCGTGGACAGACTCCTTATTTCTGCTGGGATCGTGAAAGTCGATCTCGGGCTGTCCCGTGTCGCTCACTGCTGGCTAGCGGTGCCCATCCCTGGCAATTCGGGTGCACTTTGTCTCTACGCCACCGAAGGCCTGATTTCGCATGAGAACGGGGGCTGCCAAAAGAAACCCTCAGACCCCCACATCCACTCGAGGGGGTCAGCAAATGGTTGCAGTAGGAGAAAGGCGCCAGGCTTTCCTTTAACAGTACAAAGGCCTCCCGCCTGTGTAGCCCACGTGCAATCGGCCTGGGCCAAAGGTGCAATGACGAGTCTGCTTCAGCGACGCGGGGCTGGAAGAGACCTGCAGAGGCCACATCTAGCTGTTTGAATGCTGGAGAGCTGGGCCCAGCGCATGGGAGAGCCGTGCGGAGACGGGGTACGCGGGGAGACACTCCAGCAGCCAGAGGATTGTCCTGACGGCGTGGAGTAAGACCTCAGGATCTGGCTCGTGGGGCCGTTGGGAGCCCCGGATGCCTTCCCGGGGTGCCAGCAGTGCCGTGCCCCAGGCTGAGCTCCCGGTGCCCAGCCCTGGCCCCTCTGCCATTGCTCGTCTCCAGCTCAGCTCCGACCCCGGTGAAGCTGTCTGCCGCTTCCGCCATCCTCTGGCCAGGAGAGGGAGCCAGGCCCTCGAGGCTGAGACCAGGAGGGATGGAGCAGGGCTGGCTGGAGCCGAGGCAGGTGCTGCACCGAGATGTGGCCCCAGGGCCCAGCGAAGCATCCCCAGGACCCCGCCGCCTGGCCAGCCCAGAGGACACCACTGCTCCAGCCGCTGCAGCGTGGACAGAGCTGCCACCTGGGCCTGGCAAGGATTGCCCCTGGTCGATGCCCGTGAGACCTGCGCGGCAGGAAGGGAACAACCCCAGGCGCAGTGCCAGCGTGCACCCAGCCCACCTGCTCTCTAGTCACTTCCCTTCCACGTGCCTCAGTTTCCCCATCTGTAAAATGGCGATGATAATACCAGCGACCTCAGCGGCGTGGTGTGAGAGCTACCGGTATACAGTGCTGTATAAAAGCCAGGGATGAGGACCACTTCCCTGCCCACGCTGTAGCCACCGGTGCTCAGTGGCAGGAGAGCACCTCACTGCCTAACTGCAGCTTTGGGGCACGTAAAGCAACGCTGTTCCCCTGAGACGGGCTCTGCTGCCCAAGCAAGGCAGCAAGTGGGAAGGTCTGGCCTCGCTTTGCTTAGCTAAAGGCCTGCACCGGGGTGCCACGCTGGAGTCCGCGCATGCAGCTCGCGGCCCATGGGGACAGCCGAGACCAGCGGTTCCCCACCCTTTGTGCCTCGAGATGCCCCCGCCTGGGCTCCAGACCCCCTCAGGAAATGCCAGCTCGCAGCGTGCACTAGAAATACTAGAGCCGTTCTTGCGCGACAAACACTGCTGCCAGCCCGCGGCGGCGGGGGACAGCGGGCATCCTTGAAAGGGTCTCAAGGCACCCCGGGGTGCTGGGGCTCCCTGCACCGTGTGAGCGTGAGCTTTACCTCGGTCACAAACTTGTTCTCTTTCACCAGCGTCATCGGAGGCTCCTGGAAGGTTTTCCTCATGGTGTTGGGTGGCCGGTAGGAGTCCGTGTAGGTGCTGATGGGGGTCTTGGTTTTACGGGCAAAGAGGAACATCCTGATGCTGCTCCCGGGACGCTCTTCACGGGTCTCAGGGACGCCCGGCGGGGTCGGCTTCGGCAGCTAAGAGGCCTCGTGCCGCAGTCAAAGGCGTTGGACTTCCCACCCGCTGCAACCCGCTGTGCCCGGGGGTGAAGGCAGAGGAGCTCTTCATGCTGGTACGGCAAGCGCCCGTGTGGTCCCTGAGCCTCTCCCAGGCACCTGCCCTGCTCGCATCACCTGTGATGTCACAGTGGCTTAAATCACCTCTGGCGTCTGTCCCTCGGCCCCGGGGCGACGCCCTGAGCTGCTCGTCCTGGGACCTGCCGGGAAATCCTCCTTGGGAAACGAGGCACAGCGGGCACTGGCCCGCGGCTCCCCAGGAGGCCCAGGGAAGCCCGAGAAGCTCCTGCCTCCAAGGCCCTAAAGGAGAGAGTCCAGCGAAGCTGCGGCCCCGACTACACGTTCTGCATATCCGACAATTCACTGGTGAATCGTGCAAGACGCGTGTTGAATAGTGTAAGGTAACGATCGCACCATTAAATCATCCAGAACAAGCTGACCAGCTATAAAGGGAGTACTTGAAAAGGGGTAAGGACTCTAGAGCTGGTTTCTCTGCAGCTTTCACTTGGAAAGATCCTTGGGACGAAGTGTCGTGGATCAGTTTAATGCCCAACGCTCGAGGAGTGGGGCTGGATGGGACATCCAGGGGTCCTGTCTAGTCCGGGATGGACGTGGATCTCTATGGAGTGAAGTACTTCGAGACCTAACAGATACAAGGGGGTCTTAACACCCATCATGGCTGAGCCCCACAGTCCTAAGCACCCCTGGCAGTGCCTGGCTTGCTAGGGACAGCCTTACCCACGTCTGAGAGACTCTGTCCCGAAGACGTGAAGGTCTTGGGACATCTGCAGCTGGGCATCCCAGCGTGAGCTGAGGGCAGAGCCCCTACTTTCATTTGCTTCCCATGAATATAAAGCTGTATCTGCCACTGTGGTAAACCACTGTATCTCAGCGTACCCAGTGTGCGGTACACTCGCTCGATCTAGCTAGCCTCCAGCTCGGTCTTTCTCACCTCTCAAGTTCTCTCACCTGCTCTTGCAGGTCTCCCAGTGCTACCCTGCTTCTGAAACCTGCTCACCTGTGATGTTTTCTTGCCATGTCCTTTGATCCTTCTCCCCATCTTCCTAGGCCTAGTTCATCCTATCAAGCATCCTGTAAGATGGACTCTTCTCCGTGGCTGCAGGGGACAGGACTAGGAGCAATGGCCTCAAGCGGCAGCTGGGGAAATAGGGGCTAGAGATGAGGAGGGACTTCCTGACTCTGAGTCCCTTCCAGCCTTTCTTTCCTACAAGCTTATGATCCTAAGGGCTATTTGAAGGTCTGCGGGGTGAGCTGCTTCTTTCTCTGGGATGTTTTGTTGCAGAAGTGCCCCTCTGCCGTGTCTCCTCTGTCCCCCTGCCCACGGCAGGAGCGGCGCTATCTTATTCATGTTACGGGTTATGTGTGCACCAAGGCACAAGGGACTATGGATCCCAGCCTAGGAGCTGGTGGCCTACAAGCCTGATCCTCCAGCTTGCTTTGTACAGCGGAGACCACCCCACGTGAGCGGTTTTCAGGCGTGAGGACGATGCAGAGGCAGGGGCCCTGGAGCTGGAGAATTGCAGGCTGGGTTTTCAGAGTGAATGGCTGTGGCCGACGTGCAGGGATGAATCTGAGCTAAGAAGCTCTGATCTGTGTGATGTCCCCCCCGGATTTGAGGGTGGTGGTTTTGCGCCTGCCTCTGGCAGTCACCTGGAGAGACCCCTGCATAACGCAGGTGTGGAGTGGATTTCCAAGCACCCAGCCTCATAGGCAACAACCTGCAGGTGTGGGGGGACAGGCACCTCCCCAACTACCCTCACCTCTGACACCTGGGGCACAGCGGTGTCCCTTGCTTCTCGAACCCGTCCCTTCAGCTCTCGTGGGTCTCGTGGCATCGCTGATTCGTTAGCAGCTTTGAACATACTCCCAAATCCCGAGAGAGGATCAGAGACCAGGGCTCTCTGGAGGTTGCATTTAGGCTGACTCCCTGCTCAAGGCGGGATCAGCCTTGTTCGAACCATGCCAGCCAAGCGTTTGTCTAACCTAGTGCTTCTCCACCTTCTTAAACTCGTGGCACCCCTTCATAGACTCGAGGCGCCTCTTGATACACTCAAGGCGCCTGTCGAGCCTGATACTTGAGAAGCTAATAAACAGGAACATAAGTGGCAGCAGGTTGGAAGTAAATGGGAAACAAGAGGGCCTACCTCTTGATAGACTTGAGGTGCCTCTCGATGGACCCGCGGGCACTTCTTGATCGACGTGAGGCACCTCTCGACAAACTCGAGGCACACAAGTATTGAGAGACTTCAGAAAATGCCAGCTCTTAGTTTTCACACATTTTTTGACTGCAGAAAACTAATAGAGCACTTCTTTTGTGGAAAATTGCTCAGGCAGCCCACGACAGGTCAGAAAGTTTTTTGACACCCTGGATTCCTATATGCAATCTCTGGGTGCATCTTGTGAAACGTTTTCACCCACCTCACAGTGCTAAGACTGCGTGGCCCCCTGTGGCACCCCTGAAAGGAGCTCAAGGCACCCTGGGGTGCGGCGGCAGCCTGCTTGAGAGTCACTGATCTGAACCTGTTCTGAAAAACTTTCCTTAGCCATTTCCCTTTCCAATTCCCTTGCGGACCCTCTCGTTTCCCATTTACTGCCAGCCTGTTGCGATTTATGGTCCTGTTTTCCGGCGTCTCAAGTATCAGGCTTCCAAACAGTGCAAGAAAAAGGGATACAAAGCAGCGTAATACATGTTAAATGATGCAACAGAGATGTATGGAGCTGGATGATGATCACGGATTTAACAGGAGCTGTAACCAGTCTAAGGCCTTGTGCTGTCCAGGTTTGATCCTGCTTAGCGGAGCTCAGTTAGATCTCACGTACTTTAAATCTTTTAATTGTGCTGTATGCTGGCCCCGACACAGTTACATCTCTGGGGTACACGAGGGCCCGTGGCTGGTTCAGCAGCAGCGGTGGGCATGCCAAGGTGCAGAGATGCATGCTTACCTTGCAGTGCGGTGCTTGACATGTGCGTGCAAGTTCTCGGCAGGTCACCTGCTATGTTGGTCTGCAGATGTGTGTGGGCACCACGTGTCTACCTAGTAGCTTGCGTGCTTTGCACACGCGTGTCCAGGGAGGGGTGTGGACACCATCGAGCAAAACCCAGGAGAGATGTGAAGGGAGGGACCACCATCACCCAGGTTCCCCCGGCCAGAGCCTCCCTCCTGGTGTGATAGGTGTCGAGTCTGGCCGCAGCCAGGAGGTCCCAGGGCTCAGTGGGGCCACGGATGGGGAGTGCATGAGAGAAAAGGTGTGGGGAGAAGTGCAGCCAGGACTGGAGGAGGGGCCGCAGCTTGGGGCACTCGAGGTAGGTGTGTGCTGGGGTTTCCCTCTGCCGACAGAAAGGCCAAGCCTCATGGGGGTCTGTGAAGTGTGCAAGTTGCACACCTGCAGAGGTGCCTCCGTGCAGGAGCTGTCAGCCCAGGGCCCCCCATGGCTTGTGGGATGAGGGTGGACTATAGACTGGCCCACCAGAAACCTCGTCCTGGGGGTCCGGGCCCCAGGCAGGAAAGGAAAGTGGGCCCTGCTCCTCTCTTCCAAGGCCGTGTCCAGTCCCTTTTTGATTTGGCTCAACTCTCTGCCTCCACTGCATCCGGAGACCACGAGGTCCTGGCCCCATTCAGCTCCTGGGTAGAGAGATGCCCGTGCATGATCCCCACAGCTAGCCCCCCGGAGCAGTGCAGCCCCCAGCCACGCGCTTGCCAGCCCCAGGCTGGGAGCAGCCGGGTGAGGAGCCAGGCCTGGATGCCTGGGGGGGCAGGGTGGGGAGAGGCTGACTTCCACCCCAGGCAAGTCTTGGTTCTCCAGGAAATGGTAAAGAGCCCCAGCATGTGGTCACTGGGGGAGGCATGGGGAGGTGCCGGAGCAGCACCCACTTCAGCCCCCCGTCCTGCAAGGGGGGTCTCCAATCACTCATGGAGGGGGTGAAGGAAGGGGGCTATTCTCCCCTGGCTCCCTTTTCTGTTCCCTCACAGGAGGTGACAAGAGCAGACCGGAGGGCGCTGAGGGGCTGCCGCGCCTGGCGGAGTTGGGGACACAGGCCGGCCACGTTTGCAGCCGGATTGTGCGAGCCGTGCCCGCGTCCTCGCCCACCCCTCACTGTCCCTGAGCGATGGACCCCTGTTCCTCTCTGCACCGGCTGCAGGCGGGTCGGCAGGGTCCGTGCAGCGTTCGGGGCGGACGGCCTGGGAGAAGCACTGTAAACCTGCACGGGAACGGATGGGTCCTGCGGGCTGAAGGGGACACGGCACTTAAGAAAGGACACGACTGGGGGGTTTTGCCTTCGTCTGCAGTGGGTCTATGAATCGAGTGTCTATGAATCCCCTCTGCAGGAGCAGGACATTGGTGGCTGCAGCCCCGCTGCTTTCCCTGTGGTCTCTACCCAGGATCTCTCGAGTGCATTTTAACCCCCCTTGCAGCAACAAGACCTTGCCGGCCCTCGCCCCCCCGCCCTTTCCCTGGGGCAGACTCGGGGGCTCTCAGTGTTTCTGGGCAAGGGGCCTGGTAGCTGTGCCGCAGGGTGAGCAGCGATGGTGAGCGGCCGGACGGGGCGTCGGGTGATGGCTGAGCCCTGGGCTGGCGTCTGCTAAGCCATCCAGCAAATGGCAAGTGGCTGGTCTGTCTGCGCTCACATCTGCACTGGATGCTTGGAGACCTTGCCCTGGGCAGCAGCCTCACGGGCTCGTAGTCCTTGACCTGCCGGGCAGGGAATATAACCGATGTCTTTCCACATCAGCTCAGGTGGTGTCAAGCACTCCTCCACCTCCCGGCTGCAGGCAACGGGCCCTGCAGGACACTACCTCGCCCCCACTCCCCTATGGAGCATCGTCTCCTCGAATGGGTCCAGTGGATTAGCAACAAGTCCCCAGCGGGTCTCGTGGGGTCTCCGGACCCCGTTACATGCGCTGGCGCGGGTTTCTTGCCCTAGGGACCAGGGGGTGGAGCAGCTGGTAACCTGCTGCACTCTCCTGCGGGCCTTGGAGAGATGCCAGGGCTGGGTCTGAAGGTCAAGTTCAGCCCTGGTTTATCCCCGCAGGACCCGGCATTGGTTTTCACTCCCCAGGGGTGTTTGGTCCTGTGCCATAGTGAATCACAGTGCAGCGAGGGGAGCGGAGTCGGGCAGCGCTGGGGACAGCGGGTACTTGGCACAGGAGCAGCCCAAGGGATGTCATCGCTGTCCGGCAGCAGCCATCTGGTCCCCCCTGCCCTGGCCGTGCTCTTTTGTTCTGTGCTTCTCCTGCCCTCGCCTCTCTCTACATCCACTTGCAAAGCCCATGAAGGTACAGCGCACCTTGCCGAGCACCGTCCCAGTCCCCTCTTCACGGCTTCATCTGGAAAAGCCCTACGTGATGGGAGCAGCCAAGCATCTACCGCTCCCGTCTCGCAGCATAGAGGACCTCGCCCGCAAGGCATCTTCACCTGCCCCGTAACGTAGCGGCATCCCTTGACTGCTTGCCCCCATCCAGGCTGCTTCCCTCCCTCCCAGGAAGGGTGGACAAAGTGGCTAGGGCAGCACGCAAGGTTTGGTTCACCCCGAAGATGCGGCCTCGGTGCCTTATTTTAGCTCTGCTCAACGGTGTGAAGCTCAGATGAGCCAGGAGGGAAATACTTGCTGCTTTCATGGGCTTGGAAGAGGGAGCTGCTCAGCCAGCAATCCTGTGGGGCTCTTCCAGCGTTCAGCTCGTGTTTTTCCTCCCGCGTGGGTCTCCGGGGCAGGGGCAGGGGCCGGGGGGAGCGTTTTCATTCTGCCCCTGATCTCCGTTATACCCGTTACAAGACTTCGCACTCGCCTTGCTCGTTAACAGCAGGCCTGCGTCCGGTCTTCTCGTTACTGAGATGAGGAACTCCAGTCCCAAGGCTTGCTGCAATCGCACGTCGCCACCCCACGTGCCTGCCTTTTGCACGAG